GGAACAGAGCACAGACCTGAAGCTCTACAGTGAGTCAGCAGCGATGCCCTGAGGAGAGGCAAGCTGGTGACAGGCTGCAGAGATGGGAAGTGGACGCCAGGACGCCGTGAGCGAATGCCAGGCAAAGCCCTACATATCTGCCTGGGCAGCAGAAGAGGCAAACTGGTGGGCGGAGGCTCTGAGCGGAGGGAAGTGATTTTGGAACAAAGCGGCCAGTTCGGAGCCCAGCGAATCCAGCCCCAGTGGGGCAAAATGGCTGCAATGTGGTATTATCCAGCTGGCCGTGGCAGGTGGGGGGTGGTGCACAGATCCATTGAAGGATTTCAGCAATTTCCACCCCAGCGGGGTGAGGGTGTGTGTGCAAAATGCATCCCCCAGTAACACCCCTCCCAGGGCTGCTCCTGGCTGGGGCAATTCACGCAACAGCCTGGGCTCAGGGTGGGGACTCCCCCCCTCAGCTGTAAAATTCACCCAGTGCCAGGAGCCAGCGGCAGGGCCTCCCCATAACCTAATGGAGGAGCAGCATCCCCACACCATCCCTGAGCTCTGGGGCAGGGAGTTAAGCGACCCCGAAGCTGGGCAGGGAGGGAGGATGCGAGCTCAATCCCTTCCAGCACCAGCTCTCCCACCTCCCCAGGGATCCCTCCCTATTCCCAGAGGCAGCAATCGGCTATTGGCCCCCCTCACCAGCCAGTGACTGCCTTGCCCATGGTCACAGCTCTGCTCGGCGGCAGTAGCAGAGAGGCAGTGACCAGGCAGTTACCAGCTGTGCCTCCCCAAAAAAGGCTGGCCATGCAGGAGGGCAAATGCCGCGGATGTGGCGTGGGCCACCTCCCTTCAGGGGCGCACCAGCCCGCTGCCTTTCGAGCGCCAGAAATGAAGCTCCCTAGAAGTGGGGGGGCCTCCACTGCCTGGACTGTGGCCTGGCCCGCACTCTGCCCCTGAGATCCTGTCCTCGCTCTGCTTCTTCCCTCAAGGCCGCCCCACCCTCGCTCCACCTCCCAGGGCCTCCCCCGCTTGCCACTTGCTCCTTCAGAGGAATGAGCAGCATGTGGGTGGGGCCTTGTGGGAGGAGGCGGAGAGGAGTGGTGGGTGGGTGGGGCCTCAGGCCTTGCTGCCTCCCCACCCATCCCCCCATGCCCCCGCTGCCTCCTCAGGCTCCCCACTCATCTCCCCTGGTCTCCGCTGCCTCCCTGGGCTCCCCACCCATACCCCCATTTCCCCTGGCCCCTGCTGTCTCCCCAGGCTCCCCACCCATCCTCTCTGCCTCCCCAGGTTCCCCACCCATCCCCCATCATCCCTAGTCCCTGCTGCCTCCCCACCCACCCCCCATTGCCCCTGGCCCCCGCTGCCTTCCCGGGCTCCCCACCCATCCCCCCATTTCCCCTGGCCCCTGCTGTCTCCCCACGGCTCCCCACCCATCCTCTCTGCCTCTCCAGGCTCCCCACTTATCCCCGCACTTGTCCCTGGCTCCCACTGCCTCCCCACCCATCCCCCCATCATCCCTGACCCCTCAGCCTCCCTGGGTCCCCACCCATCCCCCATCATCCCTAGTCCCCACTGCCTCCCCACCCACTCCCCATTGCCCCTGGCCCCCACTGCCTCCCTGGCTTCCCCCCCTTATTGCCCCTAGGCCTCACTGCCTCCCCACCCCGCATTGCCCCAAGCTCCCTTTCACAGCCTCGCACTCCAGGCCTGCCCTGCTCCTTGCCTCTTGACCGCGGCGCCCTGGGTGGTCGCCCACCCGTAAGGCTGACCCTGCAGGTTTCTCTTTACAGTTTTACATTTCTGGGGAGATAAATGTGGTTAACATCCAATTTGGGTCGTGACGGGTCTTCAGGGTTCCATGGAGCCGTTTTCCCACACTTTAGGAAAGCATCAGGGGATGGATCACTTGATGATTACCTGTTCTGTTCATTCCCTCTGGGGCACCTGGCACTGGCCATGGTCCGAAGACAGGATACTGGGCTAGATGGACCTTTGGTCTGACCCAGTCTGGCCGTTCTTATCCCGGCTCTGAATTCGCCTGGAAGCTCTTTAGGGCAGAGCTGACTCAGATTTTTAAAGATATTCAGGCCCCTAACTCCCATTGAAATCAGTGGAAGGAAGGCCCCTAACTACCTTGGAGGAGTGTGGGGCTTGTTATGTGTAACTAGGGTTACCAACTTTCTAATTGCACAAAACTGAACACCCTTGCCCTGCCCCTTCTCCAAGGCCCCGCCCCCGCTTGCTCGATCCTCCCCCTCCCTCCATTGCTTGCTCTCACCCACCCTCACTCACTTTCACTGGGCTGGGGCAGGGGTTAGGGTGTGGGATGGGGGTGAGGGCTTCCAACTGGGGATGTGGGCTCTGGGGTGGGGCTGGGTTCTGTGTCATGATTTTATCTATACGAAAGAAGCCAAAGCAATTACCGGGGTGGTGGGTGAACCCCCCTTTGGGGAGGCTAGTCCACCGGCCCCCTCCCCTTGAGCCCGAGGCCCCACCCCCCACCAGCCAGAGCCCCGAGATGCCCCTCCTGCGACTGGAGGAGCCTACTCACCCGCCTCAGCCCCCAGCTAAGCTGTCACCCCTCCAAGCACCAGGCCGGCCACAGCACCCGGCTGAGCCGCTGGCCCCACTCGAGCACTGGGCTGGGCTGCTAGACTGACTCCCTTCCTGGGCCGGCCTGAGTGCCGCCCCTGTCCGCCGGTGGGAACTGAGCTCCAGGCTGCTGGCTGAAGCTGATCCCCTGCCGGCTTCTGGGTAGAGGGAGAGGGAGGGCGTGGCTCCCAGGGGAACATGGGCAGGGCGAGAGCCTGGGTCAGGGGAGCCTTAGCCTGCTCTGGTCTTTAATACCCGCCGCCCATGGCAGTTACCCCAGAAGCTCCCTGTCGCTCAGTGGAAAGGACTGTGTTCTCTGCATTAGGAGCCAGGGCCAAGCAAGAATATTCAAGTTCACATGCTACAGTAAATAAATAAAAAGCCTCCAGTTTGAGCCGGCAGCAGCAGAGGAGCTCGGGGTCATGTGCTGGGTTTGGAGAAGGATTTACATTCCCTGCTGGGTAAAGAACATTCCCCACCAGTAGAGGAGAAGCTTGTTTAAATTGGAAAAGTCCAGGGGCCACTGACGGTCTGTCTACACTGCCTTGTAAAGCCAGGTCTCCTGTGACTCAGGTCTGCAGCTTGAGCTGTGTCCACACAGCACCAGGGTCGGGCTTGGACCAGAGCCACAGCAGGACTTGGGCTCTGAGCCATTCCCCTAATGGGGCCCTAGACAGTCACTGACCCGAGTCACACTGATTTGTGTGTGGACGGAAAGGGGGCTTGGGCTCAAACCTGAGTCACAGCCCAGGCTTAGTGTGCAGTGTAGACATACCCTGTGTGGCATCAGCTCTCCCCAGTCCTGTTGAGGCCTTTCTGCATAGTACTGAAGCCACAAGGCAGTCAAGGTGGAGCTGTGGCCAGCTGGGTGGAATTCATATCAGCTCCACTATGTCCTTTAGAACGTACCTGATGGAGCATGCACGGTACTCTTCCCACTGAGCACGCCATCTGGGTGTCTGCGGGCAGCCGTAGCCAAAGGAGATCCCTATTGGTTCCAGCCTGGGGGGGGGGGGGTCTGATCCACTGCAGGGGCCCCGGGACATTACATGGATAGCCCTGCTTTCCTGGGATCCCCTAGCATCCATGCGGTTTGCGGTGAGTCCCACAGCTCCTACTGTCTGGCCTCTGCCATAATTCTTCAGGGCAGGAGATGTGGGGGGCTGGGGGGGGATCTGGCTGGGGATCATTGGCTTTCCCCAAACGTCTGATATATTATTACTAAGGCTAAGATTCTGTCATGGATATTTTTAGTAAAAGTCTTGAACGGGTCACGGGCAATAAAAAAAAATTCACGGAAGGTTGTAACCTGTCTGTGACTTTTACTAAAAATATCCCTGATGCGATGGGGAGCCCAGCTGTAGGTCCCCACACTGCCTGAAGAGGTTAGGCAGCTGCAGGGGCCGCTCCAAGCTCTGAGGGTCCCCACCGCCTGTGGGGGCTTGGAGCTCCAAGGTCCCCCCACTCGGAGCTCAGGGGTACCCCCACCACCTGCAGCGGTCGGGAGCTTTGAAGGACCCCCAGTGCCCATGGTGGCTTAGAGTTCCTGGGTTCCCTGCCCCCTGCGGAGGCTGGGAGCTGCGAGGGGGCCCACTGCCTGTGTCGGCCAGGAGCTGTGGCAGGGGTCCCGCTGCCTGCAGCAGCTTGGAGCACCAAGGGGGCCCTCGCTGCCCAGTCCACCGGGAGCTGTGGGAGCCCCCGCTGCCCACAACCTCTGAAAAAATCGTAGCCTTAATTATCACTGAATGTTTCACTACCACTTCGTGTGCCTCTGTGGGCACAGATCACACTGACGCCGAGCCGTAACGCCCAAGGCAAACTTCGCAAATGCAGCGGATTAACCGAGCAGGTTTAAGATTTTGCTTTGAAGTCCCACTCAAAACTTCCTTCATTAGGGGCCCTTCCTCACCTGACACAGAAAGGATGGTGGGAGAGGAGGTGGAAGGTGGTAGGAGAAGGGGCAGAGCTTATGTTATTTGCATGGCCTTAACTGTGCATTTCATCTTTGCCATGTTTTGGAAGGAGTTTGCCTTGGTATATAAACAGGATCAGGGCCTAACTTATGTTTGTCAGTTTCTTATATTAAACCATAAACAGTAACCTCCAATAGGCCTATATGTCATTAGCTTTAAATGGCTATTTTATGTATTTAATTTTGAAAAAGCTACAGTGTTCTCTCAGGGTTTTTCCTCCTAAAGAAACACAGAAAGATTTATCACCTTCCCCCCAGTTCAGCACTGCTCTTTGCCTGGGGGAATATAATATCGGGTCCCTTCACAGAGAGCTTTGCATTTCTCTGCACAGTCTCCAGGGGCTGAAAATCAAACAGGTTTCTCCCCCAGCTCAGCCAATGAGAAAGACCCTAAGTGAACAAACACCCAATTGCGGCTGCAGTCTAAAGGCAGGAAAGTGAAATGAAACCTGTCACTTTCCCCCGCTGGGAGCCATGGCTGCAGAGAGCCCTGTACAGAGTCTCCAGGATGAAGCTTCATGTTCTATCTGTCTGGAGTATTTCAAAGACCCGGTGTCTATCCACTGCGGGCACAACTTCTGCCGGGCCTGCATCACTGACTACTGGGAAGAGTCAGATATCAACTTCTCCTGCCCTCAGTGCAGAGAAACCGCCCAGCAGAGAAACTTCAGACCCAACAGGGAGCTGGCAAAAATTATCGAAATAGCCAAGCGGCTGAGTTTACAGGCAGCCAAAGGCTCAGGAGGTGAGCGAGTGTGTGAGAAGCACCAGGAGACCCTGAAACTGTTCTGCGAGGAGGATCAAGCCCCCATCTGTGTGATCTGCCGAGAGTCCCAGGCTCACAGATCTCACACCGTGGTTCCCATAGAGGAGGCTGCCCAGGAGTACAAGGTAGGGAAGCCTAGTATATTGTAACAGGCAGGAGTTTAAATAAGTAAAGCATCAGATAGAATGGGATCTTCCACTGTGAATTTCTAGACATAGAAATTTCACATACAGTATTTAGGTTTCTCACTAGTTTAATCTGAATGCCTTATTTCCTGTGTGTGTATATATATATATATACACACACACATACCATTAAGAAGACAGGAAATGACACTTACGTGAATGATCTCTGCTCTCAACCTCTTGCCGAATAATGTCTGGGAGTTGGATCAAAGTGATGCTGAACTTTTGCTACCTAATAGTTCTGTTCAAAATGACATTTCTCAGGAGCTGAATAAAACTGACAGAGCTAATACAGGGCCCGATTCAGCAAAACGCTTAGACGTGAGCTTAACTTTACGAGTGTGAATTGTCCGACTGAAGACAGTGGAACTATTCCCTTGATCTAACGCAGTGGTCACCAATCGGTAGATCGCGATAGACTGGTCGATCCTGGAGCCTCTGCCAGTCGATCGCGATCTCTGGCTGCTAAAAGTCTGGCAGCACAGCGGGTCTAAGCAGGCTCCCTGCCTGCCCTGGCCCCACGCCGCTCCCACAAGTGGCTGGCATGTCTCTGCAGCCCCTGGGGGGAGAGGGCATCAGGTCTATGTGTGCTGCCCGCACCTGCAAGCACTGCCCCCGCACTGGGGGGGCGGGGCCAGCGGCAGCGCAAGGAGTTGCCTGCTACCCTCCCACCCCCAGGGCCGCAGACATGCCAGCTGCTTCCTGGAGTGGTATGGGGCCAGGGCAGGCAGGAAGCCTCCCCTATACCCGCTGCACCACCAACTGGGAGCCACCTTGCACCCTTTCCTGCACCCCACCCCGCTGCCCCAACCTGGAGCCCCCTCCTACACCCAAACTCTCTCCCAGACCCCACACTCCCGCCCAACCCCCTGCCCCAGCCCTGAGCCCTCACCCAAATTCCCTCCCAGAGCTTGCACCCCTCACCCCCTCCTGCATCCCAACCCCCTGTCCCAGCCTGGAGCCCCCTTCTGCACCCAAACTCCTTCCCAGAGCCTGCACCCCTCACCCCCTCCTGCACCTCAACACTCTGCCACAGCCCAGAGCCCCGTCCTGCACCCCAACCGCCTGGTCCAGGCTCAACCTAGAGCCTCCTCTCACACTCCAAACCCCTCTTCCCCAGACCAGAGCCTGCACCCCCTCCTGCACCCCAACCCTCTGCCCCAGCCCGGTAAAAGTGAGTAAGGGTGGGGGAGAGCAAGTAATAGAGGGAGGGGGAATGGAGTGAGCAGCACGGGGCCTCAGGGAAGGGGCGGGGTAGATCCTGGGTTGATCTTAAATTCAAAAAGCGATCTTGTGCGTAAAAAGGTTGGAGACCACTGATCTAACAAAAGCATGTGTTTCAGTGTTTTGCTGAACAATGGCCATTCTTTTCCTTTGTCTGTGTCACTCATTTTATTCCTGACACAGGAATCACTCACTTCTTGGGTCCCAAACATGCAGATGTCTCAGAGGCCAGGGGGCTAAGGATTATACAGACCAAGATTGTAACATCAGTAACCAGTAAAACAATCCAGTGAATTGAAGGAGACAAACATGGTGGCCAATTATGTCTGGCTGTGGAATCATTTTCTCCTTTTGAGTTAAATCAGCTGCAAAGAGTTTAAACAAATACAGTCAGATCCGTGCAGCTGGTTTGTAGTTTGTAGGGACTGGATTCTCCCTACGCCACTGTCCAAAGAAGGGGGAAAACGTTGAACACTCAACATTATTTCTTTGCTCAGGAAAAAATCCAGATCCAATTACAGATTCTGAAGGAAGAGAGAGAAAAGCTGATGGGATTGAAACTGACCAAAGAGGCAAGAATCTGGGAGCATCTGGTAGGTACCAGTTGTTATTATCCAGCAAGGACATGTAGGTGCGTGTCCCTCCCAGGGTGGGTATCACTCTGGTAGTGTGGGGGTCCGGGGGATGGGAGAGTCAGGGGCTCATACTGTGACCACGTGTCACTGAGTGAGATCCTGTGTTTCTATGTTCCCCTTTGGGGATGTCCCGTCTCTGCCGGCTGGATTGTGTCTTGCACGTAGGCTGCTGAAAATGCCCCTGGACTCTGATATGTGAAGGGGGAGAGATGCAGTGCATGACCCTGGGCTGGCTAGCACCAGGCATGAGGTCATGGCCTGGCCACCTCCTTTCCCTCTCCTGAGCAGCCAGAAGCATCACATCTGCTCCAGGGGCACAAGGCAGCTCGTGTGGCCTTCCCCAGGAGATACAGAAAGAGCCTGTTCTCCCCCCATCCCTGCTGAGTCCAGGCTCAGTCTGGGCCCTTATGTCTGTGTTTGGACGTGCTGGGAATTTCTGGGTGTTCCTGTTTGCACCCCTAGATGTCTTCGTGTTTGGGCATCTCTGGGAGCAGGCGACTATCCGGATTTCCTGAGTTAATGTATTAGAGGGTTAAGCTGTCTGTTGAGTTCTCTTTTGTTTCATTCTTTTTCGTTTGTTTGCTTCCCCCAGCCTCTCTCACTCCCAGTGTCATCCAGGACGTGTCTACACAGTAACTAGACACCCGTGGCTGGCCCATGCCAGCTGATGCAGGTTCGCCGGGCTCAGGCTGTGGGGGTCTAGGACTCTGAGAAGTGAAGGGTCCCAGAGCACGAGCTCCAGCCTGAGCCCAGAAGTCTACAAAGCAATGAAACAGCCCCGCAGCCCAGAGGCGCCGACTTTCTGGTTTCCCTGGGGGTGCTCGACCCCCGCTCTGCCCCACGCCCGCCCTGAACAATACTGGGAACTAGATAAGTTCCTGGAGAATTGGTCCATCAATGGCTATTAGCCAGGATGGGCAGGGATGGGGTCCCTAGCCTCTGTTTGCCAGAAGCTGGGAATGGGAGACAGGGGATGGATAACTTGATGATGATCTGTTCTGTTCATTCCCTCTGAAGCACCTGGCATTGGCCATTGTCGGAAGACAGGACACTGGGTTAGATGGACCTTTGGTCTGACCCAGTCTGGCCATTCTTACGTTTTTATGGGAAAGTTTCTCTCAAGTGCTATTTAAGGTTGCAATAAAATACCCCTTCCCCCTCCCCATGAGTACCCAGGCTCTCATCTGGAGCTGGCATGAATTGGTAGAGCTGCCTTGATGTTTGTGGAGTTAAACCAGCTGAAGATCTGGCCCCAGGTGACTCACTCTGTAGGCCCTGCCCTGCCCTTTCCCTTCCTCATTACAGGAGCAGGTAGAAACAGAGAGGCTGAAGATTCTGTCTGAATTTGAGCAGCTGCGGCAGTTCCTGGAGGAACAAGAGCAACTCCTGCTGGCCCGATTGGAAGAGCTGGACAAGGAGATTGAGAAGAGAAGGGATGAGAACATTGCCAAACTCTCGGAGGAGATTTCCCGTGTAAATGACATGATCAGCGAGCTAGAGAGGAAGTGCCAGCAGCCAGCGAGTGAATTCCTGCAGGTGAGATACTGGATCCTTGATACGCAAGAGCCTTGGAGTCCAGGAGTCAAACGCTAGAGTGGAACTCACAGGTTATGCAGCTGAAATATAATTTTTTACTGTTTCTAACCATTAGTATTGTTATTTGTTTCATTGTTCGGAGAACCTGGGTATTTTAAATAAAATATAATCTATCTCGGTACTCAAATGTCCCCCATGACCATCGGATCTGCATGCCTCCCCAAAATTAATGCATTGATCCTCTTCTTAGGGAAGGATTATTATCTGCATTTTACAGATGGGGCGGACTGAGGCAAAGAAGCCTGGATCCCAAAGGGACTTGTCATTGCAAGGCCTAACTTTCAGGTCATTAGAAAATCACTATAACAACAGTGGGATCCACAACGTTAGGCCCCCAGGCTCCCTACACGATGCACAGGTGGAGCTAGGCACCGAAGGACGGGAGCCACAAAAGCCAGCATGCTTGGCAAGGAGCCGCCGAAGCCGGCTGGTGGGGGATGCCAAGGAGAGGGGTGTGTCCCAAGCCTGCCACTCTTGCAAAGAGAGGTGCCCAAATCTGGACTGCAGGGGACGCGCCTGGCTCTTGCTTGTGATCCACAAATGGAAACCCCTTACCTGGAGACTGGTGTCTTCTGGTGCTTAAATCGTTCTTGTGGGAAAAAGTCAGGCGGGTAACTAGTGCCGAACAAAGCCATGCTGGTGGCAGAGCCGGCTCGCCCTTGTAACCTTTAGCTCAGTAATTAGGGTACTCGGTCGGGAGGTAGGAAATTCTGGTTCAGTCCCTATCTGATGAGAAGAAGAGATGTGACAGGGGTTCCTCACCTTAGAGATACACACCCTAACCACTGGCATAAAGAGTGGATTTCAATTTACTTCTCTTCTGGCCTACTTGAAGGAAGGGGCACAATGGACTAAGCAGTTAGGTACGAAGAATAGCCCTAAGGTTATACCCTGACATCATCTAAACGGCTACTGAGATTGGTTTGTGTTGCATCTCGTTGATTTCACTAAGATTCCTTCTTTCCCTTCCCCTTCTAGGATGTCCAAAGCACCTTGAGCAGGTACGTGGCTCCTTCTCACTCCCCCTCACAAGTTTCTGTGCTGTTCTTATTAGCGGTTTGTATTGTGGTAGTATTTAGGGGCCCCAAACCACAGACTAATAGGGCTCCATGGACAAAAACGTAACAGACACTCCATGCCATAGGCGCCGATTCTGTGGGTGGTCTGTGGCTGGAGCACCCACCGAAAAAAACCAGTGGGTAGTCAACATCCACTGGTGGCCCTGCCGATCAGCTCCTCTCTCTCCCTCCCAGCACCTCCTGCCCGCTGCAGATCAGCTGTTCAGCGACGTGCAGGAGGCACTAGGGAGGAGGGGACAGAGCGAGGACGGGGCATGCTCCAGAGAGGGGATGGAACGGGGTGGGAAGAGGCAGGGCGGGGTGGGGTGGGGTCTTGTGGGAAGGGATGGAGTGGGGCGGGGCCTGGGGCAGAGCATGGGTTGAGCACCCCCAGGGAAATGAGGAAGCCAGTGCCTGTCCTGCCATACCCTTCATTGGGAAAGGATCCCTCCTTCCTTGCCCTTTTGACTAGGACAAGCGTAGGTGTCCAATGCCCCAGAAACCCTTACCTTGGAGGTCCCTCTGAATGAGGAGACCCGGGTGCTTTCCTCCTCCTAGAGGGAAGGCAGAGTGAATTTCCAAACACACAGTGGCTCTCGTAGTGAAACAAGATTTATGTGAACATAGAGCAAGAAGATCATTTTGAAAAAATTGATGATCACCAATTATCTATGTTTATATCTCTATTGGCTGAGAGCAAAATTCTTGGCTACCTGATAACTTCTGGGTGATGCATGAGGCAAGCTGGAGCTGTGGCGTTCTCTCAGTCCTCTTCCAAGCGCTCAAATGGCCACATCACAAAGATGTACGGCACAAACGTCATTTTTTTTGCCCACTTATTGGTAAATCGCAGCAGGAAAGCCAAGGACTGAATTGGCCGTGGGTTCAGATGGGATTTGTCTGGTCCATATATAAAGCACAGGAATAAAACTCTGTTAGGGAAGCTTCCACTGAGGGCTTGTCTACACTGCCACCTTACAACACTGAAACTTTCTCACTCAGGGGTGTGAAAAAACACACCCCATGAGTGATGCAAGCTTCAGTGCTCTAAAGTGGCAGTGTAGATAGTGCACCAGCGCTGGGAGCTACTCCCCTCATTGGGGTGGGTTTTTTACAGCTGGAGCTGGAGCCGCGACTACATAGCCACGTTAAAGCACTGCCACAGCAGTGCTTTAATGTTGGTAGAGAAGACATACCCTGAGGCTGGGCTACACAAAGACAGTCTAGGGGTGGAATCCTGGCCCTGCTGACGTCAAAAGAAATTTTGCTATGGACTTCACTGGGGTCAGGGTTTTACCCCAGTCCTATCAGGACAGCGGGGTTCCGTAGCATGAAAGTCATGGGGAAAGATTATTTAAAAAAAAAAAAAAGCAAACAAACAATGGAGAATAAGGAATAAACTAAATAATGAATTAGAAGAGTCTGTTTCTTTCCAGGTGTGAGCTGGGGAAGGTCCCGCAACTGGAGGAGGTTTCTCCTGAGCCAGAGAAAACCCCCAGCAGCATCTCTCATAAAACTATTGCTCTAAAGGAGACTCTGAGGAAATTCCAAGGTACGGAGAAGGGATTGGGGAAGAGGGGAACTTGACATTTGACAGTGGGAGGAGATGGGCCAATTAGCTGCTCATGTAAAGTCCAGACAATAACAGTAAACAATGATGTTATCATTAGTGAACTCTGTAAGGGCCTAGAGCAGAGGTTCTCAACCTTTTTTTGGCTAGGACCCCCTTTGAAAATATTTCAAAAAGTGACGACCCCCTCCACACCACGCTTTAATATACTTCTGTGCTGCTGCTGGTGGTGGCACTACCTTCAGAGCTGGGAGCCGCACCTGCCACTCTCGCAACCCCCCCCCCACAATAGTCTTGCGATCCCCTTTTGGATCGGACCCCCCAGTTTGGGAAATACTGGACCAGAGGAGATTCCTTGGGACTAGAACGTAGGATGAGAGCTGGTTGGAAAGTGGAAGGTGTTTTCTCTCTCTCACACACACACACACACACTTACTTTTGAAAATGTTTCTTTACAAATAATTCATAAGTATTATCTAAGTTTCTTTTTCCCATGGGCAGGTCTATCCTCCCCAATGCCCTCACCCACCATTCCTGATCCCTCCTTTCACCCTGCACCCCCCTGGGCTATCCTCTTCTCTACTTCTACCTCTTTGCTTGGGACCCACCCAGGCTGCTGATGCTGGTGTCCCTCCACTCAGGGCCGGCCTTAGGGGAAATGGTGCCCTGGGCGCATGGGCGGCAGGTGAACCCCCCTTTTGGGGAGGCTAGCCCCTCGGCCCTGCCCTCCCTGTGCTGACAAAGCCCCAAGCGCCCCAGCTGCACCGGCCCAAACTGCCCCAGCCAGCCCAGCCCCTGGCTGCCAGTCCGAGCTAAGTCCCTGCCGGCTTTAGGGTAACGTGGGTAGGGCCTTGGGGTGGAGCATAGGTGGGGCCACAGCCTGGGTTAGGGGAGGCTTAGTCTTCCCTAGTCTTTGATATCCACCACCCATGCCTGGGCGAACTTGTATTTTGGTGCCCCTGGTCCCCATAGGCGCCCCACCACCCCATTGCCCTGACCCTCACTGGTCCCCCCCATCCAGGCCCTGCTGCCTTCCATCAGTGCTTAATTTGTATTGAAAGAGATGCGGGGGCTCAGCCCTAGCACAAATTAAGCACTGGCTGTCGTCAGGACAGTGGGTAGGAGGTAACAGCACGGCATCCCCTTAAATACCGCACCTTGGGTGGCGGCCCAGCCCGCCGACCTCTAAGGCTGGTCCTGCCTCCACTCTCCTCAGGAGTGGCTAGGAGTGGGGCAGCAGGGTGGGAAGCAGAAAGGCAGAATCTGCAGCCAAAACTGCAGCTGTAACAGCACCTCTAGTGCCTGGGAGAAGGGAACCGCGGTGAAATCCCTGCTCAGCCCCAGCAGAGGCAGCTCACTGCAATCCGGGACAGAGAAGCAGGAAATCAGGGAGGGTCCCAGCCAGGACGGGGCTGCGGGGGTGTGTGAGAAATGGTTCCAGCCGCCCGGATGGCCGAGCTCTGCCCCTAACGCTCTGATTTTCTCTTGGTTCCCCCCCAGCGGATGTGACTCTGGATCCAGACACGGCTCACCCCCGCCTCGTCCTGTCTGAGGATGGGAAAAGTGTGAGATGGGAAGACACGCGCCAGCACGTGCCCGACAATCCCAAGAGATTTGATTCTTCTCGCTGCGTGCTGGGCCTGGAGGGCTTCTCCTCGGGGAGGCATTACTGGGAGGTGGAGGTGGAGGATGGGGGAGCCTGGGCTGTAGGGGTGGCTAGAGAGTCTGTGAGGAGGAAGGGACGGGTCAATGTTAACCCGGAGGAGGGCATCTGGGCCGTGGGTCAATGTGGGACTCAGTACCTGGCTCTCACCTCCCCCAAGATCCCCCTCTCCCTTGCTGAACGGCCCAGGACCATCGGGATTTATCTGGACTGCGAAGAGGGGCGGGTGGCATTTTTTGATGCCGATAACGAGGCCCCGATCTTCACTTTCCCACCGGCCTCTGTCCCTGGAGAAAAAATCCTCCCTTTACTGTGTCTGGGGAGAGGATCCCAGTTCAGACTGTGTCCCTGCATCACAGGGTATAATATAGAGCCTTAGAACTCTATATTATATCAAGTACTTGGTCCTGCTAGTGAAGGCAGGGGGCTGGACTCAATGACCTTTCAAGGTCCCTTCCAGTTCTAGGAGATAGGATATCTCCATTAATTTAATTTAAAAAGAAATACACATGGTTAGCCTCACACGGCCCAGTTTGTCCTGGAGGCCAAAGTGTATTTGTTCATGTCAAACCCAAGAGAAGGGGGAAAAGGTATCAACCTGTCTGTGTGTCCCAACACTGATTCTGCAGGATTCTAGCAGTTTGCAGGGACATAGACTGGGATGGAGGCAACTGGAACCAGAAATGGGGCATTGGAGAAGGGTAATTGGGGTAGGGGGGAACGGGGAGGAGGTGGATACTGAAGAAATGAACCTGAAAGGGTGGGAGCCAATTAATAATCTCCAGCTTTGAATGGGGTTTTACGGATGCATTTTTTAAAAAAGCAAATGGATTCTACATTCTTATGATCCATGGAATAATTGTATTAAAGTGAATTTAAAGGACCCAAAAGGGTCCTTTTGTCTCTCCTGGTGGGTTTAAAAAGAAAATAAAATAGATTAAGTGAAACTGCAATGAGCCATTCATAAGGGAGGCAGTGTGGCCTAGTGGATACAGCACTGGATTCAGGAGACCTGGGTTCTCTTTCCAGCATAGCCACTGGCCTGTTGGGGGAGTTTGGGCACGGCTCTGTACCTCTCTCTCCCCATCTGTGAAATGGGGCTGATACTGGCCTCCTTTGTAAAGTGATTTGAGATCCTTGGTTGTAAAGTGCTGTCCGAGAACTACACGGAGGCAACACCCCTTTAGTTGAGTCTGTGAAAAGCTGTGTGTAGACAAGGCCATCATGCTTGTTAGCAGAGACTGATACTGTGCCCTTGCACAAACACAGTACTATCTTCACTGGGAGACAGGAGCTGGTTGTGTCTGATCTATTAAAACGGAGCTCCAGACCTGCCCCCCTCCCCTTCCAAGGTCTTTTCCATTGGATGCAAAACACAGACTCCCAAACGGGTGAAAGTTTGTGTCCCAGGGGCAATCAAGAACCTGCAGGATGAGGAAGCAGGAGATTGGAGATGCATGGCGTGCGGGAAAAAATATCCCTTGGATTTCAATGTACTGCTATTCTAGCTCTGACAAAGGAAGGAAGAATGGCCTTGTAGTTCAGATGTTAGCTTTGGACTCAGGAGATGCAGGCTCCTTTCTTGGCGTTGCCTCAGGATTCCTGTGTAATTTGAAGCGAGCCATTAGACCGCTCCATGCCTCAGATTATCCATCAGGGGTGTGAGGATTGCACACCTTCCCGAACTCGCAGAGGGCATGTGAGGGTAAATTAGTTCGTGAATGTGAGCTACCAACACACTACAAGATGAGACAGCAAAATGGTCTAACACATGGTTTCAAAGTGTGAGTTCTCCACCTCGTCGCAGCGAGATGGGGGTTATTGGAACAGGAAAAATGTCCGAAACTTCCAAACGTGGGAGTGAAAGAAAGAGACAGAAGTTAGAAAAATTCCCATATACATGGTGGGGAAATGTAATTCACCTATTGGATGCATTTGGGTATTTAACCTGCATATATGGGATTGTGGGGTGTCTATGGCTAATTTGGAAATATGGAATTGTGCTTGCACATTGGCATCAAGAATCTCACACACATACTATGCTGATGTCTCATTATGCATATCTCTTAAATTTATAGTTATGTTCACAGGCGCCGACTTTCCCATTTCCCCAGGGGGTGCTTGACCCCTGCTCCGCCCCAGGACCCCCCCCCCACTCCACACCGTCCCCCAAGGCCCCACCCACCTCTTCCCACCCCTGCCCTGCCCTTGCTCCACCTCTTCCTGGCCCCACTCCTCCCCCTTCCCCCCAGTGCCTCCTGCCCCCCCGCTGTACAGCTGATCAATGACAGGCAAGAGGCGCTGAGGAGGAGGATCTGATGGGTGGGGCCTGAATGGGAGGTGCTGGGGAGGAGGGGGAGGAGTTGATTGACAGGGCTGCCAGTGGGTGCTGAGCACCCACTATTTTTTTCTAGGGGGTGCTCCAGCCGCAGAGCACCCATGGAGCTGGCGCCTATGGTTATGTTGGGGTTTGGGTGAAACCTCATTATAGCTGGTGGGTATAACAGGCCACCCTTCATGCAGGAGAGATGTAAAGAACATGAAGCTCCTTCATGGAATAAGAGAGCTGAAACAATAGGAGCCTCTATCCAAAGCACAGGCTACAGATAGGGATCTGAATTATGTGGGTGGACGGGTTTCACTGGGGGAAGGAACGCAAATGCAGAAGAACTGGTAATGGTTGGATGAACGTGTGTGTGAGAGAGACATGCAGCAGAAACACCACAGAAACACTCAACGAAAGCAGCAAAGGAGCCTTAGACACAGCCAAGGATACACATGTAGTGTTGTGTCCCTGAGGGAAAAAACGGAGAGAGAGATTTTGAGCAGAGTGCTGGCTATAAAGAGGTATGGAATTGTGAGACAAGAAAATATCTCCCGTTGTTTGATTCCTGCTCTGTTCAGGGAAACAGGACTTTGTACATGTTTTGTAAATAAACAGGGTGCATGACTGAAAACAAACAAAGAACTGACTCCATTGTCAATTTCTCCTCCAATTGGCAGCAACCCCTAACACCCCAAACATTGGCTAAATGCTTGGGTCAAAAGGGGTATCAGTATAGAATAGTCTTCCCCAAAAGTAGAAACAATTTCAGTGGTGGTCATGAGACCTCAAAAAGGACCTTTTTGCTGGTATAACTACATCTACATTAGGGCTTTTGCTGACACGGCCATGTTAATTAGGAGTGTGATTTTTTTCCCCTCCAAATTTTTAACTGACATAGGAAAACCTTTTAAGTGTAGACCAGCCACAAAAAAAAGTTTGCTGTTTCTTGTCTACACTTGGGCTTCCAACGATGCTGCCATTCATAGAGCCGAACCGTTGATAGGTGCTGTTTTTCCTTCTGTGTATTATATAGACCAGAATTATAGCACCGCTGACTGATGAAAGACTCCAGCTGAATTTTGGGGGAGAAATCTGGTCCCATGCAAGACTTTTGGAGAATAAGCATTCACAGCAATGGTGTCCATCACTTTCTTCTGTAGAGTTCAGTGAGTTGGGAAAAGATTTTTTTTTAAATGGCTCCATACAGCAATATTAATAGGGGGAATAGAAACCCTGCACTTCCTTCCTCGCCCCAAAACAAACAGAAAATGAAATACACAAAACCCTACCCTTTTTCTTTACTCGGGACTCAATTCAGGCTCAACTGAAAATTTTCAAGAGAGAGAAAAGAGCTTCTAGATTTGAAAGTGAATGGAAAGGAAAAAGCTTGGGAGTATCTTGCAGGGGCTCATTGTCATTAACTTACATCTGTGTGTGTGTGTGAGAGAGGTGGAGTTTCTCTTAGAGGGCAATTACTCTGCCTCATTGACAGCAATAAGGGATCTTCCCTCTAGTACAGGGGTTCTCAAACAGGGGGTTAGGACCCCTCAAGGGACCTGTCGGCCTCCGCCCCAAACCCCACTTTGCATCCAGCATTTTTAATGGTGTTAAATACATTAAAAAGTGTTTTTAATTTAATTTATAAGGGGGGTGTCACACTCAGAGGCTTGCTATGTGAAAGAGGTCACCAGTACAAATGTTTGAGAACCACTGCTCTAGTAAGCATAATGCTCAGTGCCAGGAACTGAATTCTTAGAGAGTTTCAATGAAATTCACCCTGCTAAACTGGGCTCTGTGAAACGTCCCCTGACTCTGTATATCCCTGACAGCTGCCCTTTCCCTCCCGGATTTTGTCTGTTCCTTACAGGGAAAGACAGGCAGAGAGGCAGAAGATTGTGTCTGAGTTTGAGCAACTGTGGCAATTTCTGGACGAACAAGAGTGACTCCTGCTGGCCCAGCTGGAAGAACTGCAGAAGGAGAATTTAAGGAAAGTGAAAATGTTACCAAACTCTCTCTGAGGTCTTGGCTACACTTGCAGATCAGCACTGGGAGTTAAAGCAGCCTTCAGAGACCGCAGCAGGGAAAATGCTGCCGTGTGTTTACACTGTCAGCTGCAAGAGCAGTGCATTGTGGTAGCTATCCCAGTGTGCAAGTGGCTGCAGTGTGCTTTTCAAATGGGTGTGTGTGTGGAGTGTGACAGGGAGGGTGTTGTGTGTATGTGGGGGGAGAGACAGTGTGTTTTGGGGTGCAGAGAGTGTGTCAGCATGCTGTCTTGTAAGTTCAGACAGCAGCAGACTCCCCCTCTCCCTCTCCTTCCCCCTCTCACACACACTCACATTCCACACTAATGGTTTGCTTTGTCCTGGAGCAGATAAGCATGCTGGCTGTCAGAAACGGAGCTTTGAAAGGGGATATCCGCATGCCTGCAGCCGATTCCAAAACAATGACAAGAATGGCCACTTGACTTCTGGGGATTATGGGATGTTTCCGGAGGCCAATCACAGCACAGTAATGCAACGTTGTCCACACTGACACCCGGGCATTTCAGCCGGGGCGCAGCAAGCTTTATGCTTCTCTTGGAGGTGGATTACCAGGAGCACTCCAGCTGCAGAGTCCAGGTGCTCTACGTGCCTTGCCAGTGTGGACACCTCAGGAGTTAGGGTGTCTGGGGCTGATTTAATGCTCTCTAACTTGCAAGTGTAGCCAAGCCCTGAAACTAGCATCTCTCAATATCTAATGCAGGGGTAGGCAACCTATGGAATGCATGCCGCCTTCGGCATGTGAGCTAATTCTCAGTGGCACTCACACTGCCCGGGTCCTGGCCACCGGTCTGGGGGGCTCTGCATTTTAATTTAATTTTAAATGAAGCTTCTTAAACATTTTAAAAACCTTATTTACTTTACATACAACAATAGTTTAGTTATATATTATAGACTTATAGAAAGAGACCTTATAAAAACTTTAAAATGTATTACTGGCACATGAAACCATAAATTAGAATGAATAAATGAAGACTCGGCACACCACTTCTGAAAGGTTGCCGGCCCCTGGCCTAATGAATCAGCTGCAGGTGAAGTGCCAGCAGCCCAGGAGTGAATTCCTGCAGGTGAGAGCTCAAGTTTCTGCACAGAAAAGGGAAAAAAATCTGAATCACGAGTATAGGCTAAATATGCATTGGTGTGTGTGTGTGTGTGTGTGTGTACACACTGGCCCTGAAGAATGGAATCAGATCTACAGCATGTGTGTACATATACATACACTGTACTTTCAGGATGGAATCAGACGCTGTGTGTGTATGTGTACATTGAACTTTCAGGATGGAATCAGACTACGTGTGTGTGTGGTGTGTGTGTGTGTGCATGCGCACGCATGTGTGTATGTACACTGTACTTTCAGGTTGGAATCAGATTCTCTGTGTGTGTGTGTGTGTGTGTGTGTGTATACACTGTACTTTCAGGATGGAATCAGACTATGTGTGTGTGTGCGCAAATGTTGCCCCTAAAGAATGGAATCAGACGTATTCTGTGTCTATGTGTATTATTAAAACCAGTTCCTCACAAGATCAAACTTCACACCCCAA